ATAAAGGGGACGTACACCCGGCTGCAGGAATCTCATTCAGACTTCAACATGGAAATACAGAGGAGGCCCCCAGACTTGTGTATGTATTAAAAATGAAAGTGTAAATGTTCTTCGGGCCTCTACGATGATGTCACTAAGGACTAGGGCGGTCCTTACTCCTGCACTGAATGGGGATGACGTCCTCACTCCTGCACTGAATACGGATGAGCTCCTTACTCCTGCACTGAACACGGATGAGCTGCTTACTCCTGCACTGAATGGGGATGACGTCCTTGCTCCTGCACTGAACGGGGATGACGTCCTTACTCTTGCACTGAACGGAGATGACGTCCTTACTCCTGCACTGAACGGAGATGACGTCCTTACTCCTGCACTGAACGGAGATGACGTCCTTACTCCTGCACTGAACGGAGATGGCGTCCTTACTCCTGCACTGAACGAGAATGACGTCCTTACTCCTGCACTGAACGGGGATGAGCTGCTTACTCCTGCACTGAACGAGGATGACGTCCTTACTCCTGCACTGCCTGGAGCCCGACGTCCTTACTCCTGCACTGAACGGAGATGACGTCCTTACTCCTGCACTGCCTGGAGTCCGACGTCCTTACTCCTGCACTGAACGGAGATGACGTCCTTACTCCTGCACTGAACGGGGATGACGTCCTTACTCCTGCACTGAACGAGGATGACGTCCTTACTCCTGCACTGAACGGGGATGACGTCCTTACTCCTGCACTGAACGGGGATGACGTCCATACTCCTGCACTGCCTGGAGTCCGACGTCCTTACTCCTGCACTGAACGAGGATGACGTCCTTACTCCTGCACTGAACGGGGATGACGTCCTTACTCCTGCACTGAACATGACTGAGAATGATCCGGCGACAGGGACTCTTTACGGGTCGCTGTCGCTTTAACATACAACTATCTGCGCAGCGGCGGGCGAGTAGCAGGGCGACGCCCCCGCGTCCATTGCAGCGCTGCTGCCTCAGAGATGGTATTATTTTGCGCTCGGCATCCCAGAAGCATCCTGGGCCCCCGGGTTGGCTCTGGAACACGAGGGCCGTGTATAGGGCCGGCCAGCTCGACCTGTCAGTACGCATTTGCGCACGCCGCCTTCTCCCGGGGCGTTGGACGCGAACCCGTAAACAACAAAAAAAAAAAGTCGCTCCCCTCCATCTCCGGCTATTGTTTGAATGTATTTATTTGGTAATTGATACGTTAGTACATCTGAAACGGAGCAACGGAGCCGCGCTGCCAACATTCCGCCGCGGCCAAAACAGACTGCGTCCACGGAGCGCGGCCCGCTTCCCCCAATCTTCCTCCGGACCCCCTCACATGATTAGAAGCAGGATCGGAGCGGATTTGCTGCGTGTTTGGTTTGGACGTTAAATCTGCAGAAAACGATTTCTTTTTTCTGTTTGAGATAAAAAAAAAGTTGACGATTGGAAGGCACAGGAAACGCATCGGAGGCGGAGGCTGCGGGGGGTCCCCGCCCCCCCCCCGCCCCCTGGAGACGCCACACTCACAGCCCTTGGCTGAGGATCACTTTGCTCTCGCCTGGCGACTCCGCCATCAGGGCCTCCACCTCCTCCACGGTGCGCGGGACGCAGGTCAGGAGCTCCATGCCGTTGGCGGCCACGGCGATGTCGTCTTCGATGCGCACCTGCGGGAGAAGGAGGTGGTGCGGTTATTACATGTTTATCAAGCAGCACAGCCGACGTTCATTCAATATTCACTGCAGGGGAATCTTCCGGGGGCCATGTGCTTTGCGTGCCATTGATTGATTCACCCCCCCCCCTGTGAATGTTTGGTGAAAGTCGCATTCACTGCTTACTAAGTCTACACATATAAATCCCTGAGATAATATTCAACAGTATCATTTTTTCAGAGAAGCTCCGCCTCCCCCAGCGATCAGTCTGCTGCAGGCCGGAGGAAGCATTTTCTCAGTCTCTAAGCTAAGCAGTAGAC